ATCCAATAAACGAGACTAGTTTATCATGTGCGGCCGCTTGTTTTGGCCATTTTGTGCCTGCGCCATGAAAGTAGTTCTATTTGTAAATACCAGTAAATACGACGATTAAGTTTTAATGAAGCACATACATATTAATGTGACAGATCTAAAAAAAACCCCACTTCAAATAGTCCACCAACTCTTGGACAACAATATTTAGAGTTGCGCTCGCAAAACAACAACAGTTTGCGGCCCGCAAACAATAATCCAACTAATGTGTTTATCCAAAATAGGAAAACAAAAATGAGAAAAAACATCATTTGCGTAATCGAAAGCGCACTCTCGGTTTCTTGAATACCACAAACTCTTAATTTCAATGCGTTCATTCACTTGATACGCGTAGCAACCAAGATAAAAAATGTAAAATGAGTCGCCGAAGAATAAATACCCTTGCAGACAATCGTTTTTTACGACCTATTTTCTATGTTTCTATGGGAATCAAGAGATATTCGATAGGACTTTGCAGATGTGTATAGATGAAAATAGTGAAGCTCATAAATGGGTTGGATTAAGATATCATGAAAAACAGAAAACTTTTACATACATATATATTTGTTCAATATATATATGTTCAACCGATTCTTCTTCTATAAATTAAAGTGGTTTGTTGCTAATCAGATTTTTCTCATAGAATTCGGGGAGCATTTCTTAAATATTACACCTTGCCTTCACATTTTGTAATATCGTTAGTTACCTTGAGTACCAGGAAGACCTATCAGACCACGCTGGGTTATCAAGAGGGACGTAGGTATCAAAGATCAGGTAAAGGGTATCATAAAATGTTTTAATGGCAACGTCAATGTCTGCACAATTGTACAGTTGGGACCAATCGACTTTGCAAAATAAGATTATTTAGCTTATAAAAATCAGCCTACGAAAACACGATTCTTATTCCGATGCCTTTATTGGGACGTGGACTGGTAGATTAATGACCAAATCAAAAGTTGCATAGAAGGTATCTTCTGCAATTGAAAGCGGGTCAATCCTGTACACAACATTGTGGAACGAATCCAACACGAAGATCAAATCAAGAGATCTGTCGCTTGTGTTATACATCCAGCCGCCTACGATTCATGGGAGACTAGTGTCCACAGAAACAAACAAGCGGACAAACGGCACGGACGTGGGTAGGATAATATATATACTTATATATATAAATTTATAGATAATGTGTTATCCAATGAAGGAGACGCCTCTGACCCGTAAAGTATATGTAAATGTATGCATATGTATATATTCAATATATATACATATATATATATAAACTTAAGGGGACAGAGGCTTAATGGGTTACACATTTCATGACAACACTTTAATACCCTCTGCAAGGGTATACAAATCTATTGAATATTTATCTAAACTCTTTGGCAATTAATCTCTGTTAGGCGCTTTAGAACAGGTCCAAGACCTTTGTTAATCTTGCTTCGGTAAGAAATTAATATTTTTTTTTTGGTTTTTTTATCCGGCTGCTGAACCGACGCGTAGACTGACCGTCTGTCTATCCTTCGGACAAGTTCTTGATAGCAGCCAAATTTTATGCAAATGAAAACGAAATTTGTTTAAAAAGCTCGCAACTGCCTAAAGTTAGCTACAAATTAACAAAGAATTTATGTGTGCTTAAGACTGAAGTTTGCTTTGCGTCTTCTTTTCATTTTCAAAATTTGTGTATATGCTTATTTTATTTATATTTATTTGCATTTGAATAAATAAATGTCTAAATATTTTTCTCATTTTTATTACGTACACACGCAATCTTCCGCAAAATATTTTATATATCTTTAAATTAGTTGAAAATTCCAAGTTTTTTTAAGCGCACAAATTTTTTTAATTATTTCTTGGCATAAATCAAAATGTAATAACATCATGGTCTATGGTCAATTTAGAATCTGTGCCGATTTTTTTTTTTCTTTAAATTACATTTGCTTAACTCACCATTAATCCATCCATCAATGCAGATTGCGCTGATCTTTCACGCCTCAATATCTTCAAAGCATTTTCGACACGTCCTCACGAGTTTTAAACCTGAAACTGGACGCTATTTGCCATGTTTGGGTATCCAACGCGTGGGTAACTCTACTAAATATTATTTCATAATTCTGAGCTTACATTAAGTCCGACGTGCCTGACTAATTATGCCCAAATAAAATTATAATTTAATAAATTTTTTTTTACCTTGCATCTAAAAGCATTTTAAAGTGACGGTCAAAATCGTTTGTGAAATGATTCAATTTGCGTAGGAATTAAAAAAAAAACAAAGTCGATAAAAGACGTTTCATTCTTTAAATAAATTATAAATCTAATTTAGATGTTCACTTTTACTTTATATCGAATTGTGATTATGTCACAAAACATATGCAGTTACCAGCAGACGCTTGGATTTGTTATAGTTCCAAATGCAATGTGTTGCAAATGTTGCACAAACCCCAAGTCTGTTATAACTATAGTTATTTGCCCAACACAGCTGCACTGGACCTCATGGGAAAAGTTCACACAAAGCTTTTTTGGGGCTATTGTTATTAGTTTTGTTGCCTTGAACTCGCATAACAAATACAAAGATACATGGAAATGCAAGTGGAAACCAATGCATTTTGTTATTTGTTTGTATACAATAAAAAAAACTTTATTATTTTTCGCTTTAGCTAAAAAGTCGTTTGTACAAAAGTTACACATATATATATTTATATATACATATATAAAAATATATATATATTGTATTGTATGTAGGTGTGTATATGGTCAAACAGTTTAAATACTTTTGCATATGATACATAATTTGTAAGACAGAGTGGTTTACAGGTTGGACAAGCACTAATAGGGCTACCATTAATAACAGGTAGTTTGTAAATATTCGAATAGAAAATGTAATGTCTTAAAATTATTGGACGTTTTCGTTTCGTATTGCTTAACTATGATTCTCATTTTTTTTGGGTACTGAATTCTTAACTAAGGCACTAGATTAGTAGAAGTTTATGCAATCCAATCGGTAGTCGTCATAGCGCGATTTCTCAGGTATGAGAAACTAACAATATTCTGTTTTTTTTTTTTATATAAAGGCACTTTAAACTATAGCAAAGTTATCTAATTAAGGCACTTACTTGTTGTTAGTTCTAACCGCATGCGACGACAAAAACAAAACTAATTGATTGATCAGGGGACCGGGGGGTAGGTGACTTTGTGCGTTAATTGAGCGCAATTTGGTATGCAAATATTGATATACAAGCGATAATGATTCATTTGAGCTTCTAGTGGAATGAGCTTCATTGATGTGTAGTTGGCGTTGTGGTTGCCGTTGTTGTTGTTGTTGCAGAAATTGAGATGAAGCGTTGCAGTTTCAGTCAGTCTTCTGTACAACATGCGGCAGCCTATCTCTGTCTGTTGTTGCGGACGTGTTAATGAGCTGTAGATTGGATGATTCATAAGTACCAACTGAAAGTCTCTTTGGATATAATGTGGCATGGTTGGTGCGGAAATGTTGTCTGACAATTGCATAAACATTCAACTAGCGGCTGGTTTTTTGCAACTAAAACTACATTTAATTATATGGTGAGAATTCTTTGTAGAATGTCGTGGGGACGGAATGTTTTTGTGTTGTTTTTGTTGTTGTATTTATGGTTGTGTTGTATGCTGCTGCAATCAAACGAAATTAAGGTTAAAGGTTACTTTGTTGTCCCGAGGTGCATAACACAGCTACTTACCGACTTTATTGTCACCTTGTGAAGGGACTAACGCTGTCTGCGTTAGCCACGCACAAGCTCAAAACGTGTCTGCGACTCCTTGAACTGCACACGTTTCCGTTGCTGCACATGTGCCTCGGTAAGGAAAAGCGTGGCGGCCACCAGTGTCAGGACCGTGCCCACACAAGCCAGCACAAAAGACCAGCCGAACCAGTTATTCGCATGCTCCGGCATCCAACCATTCCGATTGCCAAACACCGCAAACACAATCACTGCAATGGCCGCACTGACACCAGAACCCAATAACACATAGCCCACACCTCGAATTAGATTGATGAAGTGCTTTTGATCTGGTCCAGCGCAGAGGAAAAACACCAGCACGCCAATTGCACTGACCAGCATGCCAATAAACGTGAGCGTGTAGAAGAACTGTGTTGTTATCATGAAGGCAGGCAGCAGAAATCCTCGTATCTCATCGTAGCCCTTCGTAAATGGGTCATACACCCAACGGCAGCCGACAAAGAAGCGGCGCTGGCTGTCATCGTTCACATCGGGCAGCGAACGAAAACAGTGCACCCAGAGTCCCAATCTCTCCAACTTGGCACCCGTAATGCGGTAATCGCTAACCAGCCAACTGGGCGTTGCAAACGCTATTGCTATGAAGGCGAATGCAAAGATGAAGACGCCAACGCCACAGCTGCCTGCTAGGGTGCGGCGCTTCATGTTGACGGTATTGTGTGGACTGGGTAGATGCTCCTGGTAATCCTCGCGTGCAAAATGTGGCGATTTTTGCATGCTTTGTACAAAGAATTGGCAATATTTCACAGACTTCCAATGTTTGTTTCATAGGCTTAGGGTGTGGACTGCAGAGTTGCATATCATCGCTTGGAACACGTTCAATTGAGCGGCTCTCTGAACTGACTCACGGAACTAAGTCGCTGTTTGAGCATTGTGTTCAATTATAATTTTTTTGGTTTATATTTCCACTTCTTGCAATGCATTTGAGGGCGCAAATTTTAGTTAAGCTATATAAATAAAATGTTAAGATATCCGACATAATTGCAAGAAGAAAATTTGCGAATTTAGCTTAAGCTGGAATTAACAGAACACTAAATCCAAATAACAGTGTCGTGACAGTTATCGGCACGACTAAGCTCGAGTATCGATAATGCAGGGCTCCAATCGTATATAACCAGAGACTGTAATCATTAACGTAATTAGGTTTGGATATTTAATAGTCGAGCACTACCAACTAGAGCACTCTGAATAAACAAATAATCATAATCATTACTTGCGGTCCCTTTATAAAAGTGTACTTTAAATTTAACTTTAACTTAAACAAGTTATTTTCGTAAAATATAACAATCTATATATATATTGTGTTTACAGTCTTTAAATGAATAAAAGGCCCATCCATGCATAACTGCCATGTTTTGTACGTTTAAATGCTAAAACATGTGCGTCTTTGACAATTGAGAAGATTTTCATCTTCAGTTTTAGAGGGCGGCGACTGCCTTTTGCGCGGCATCATCCAAGTCAGTGGCCGTCTGTATTGGCAGACCTGAGTTCTTCAGGATCTCACGTGCCTTGGTTACATTGGTGCCCTCTAGGCGCACTACCAGCGGCACGTTCAGTTTTAATTTCTTGGAGGCAGCCACAATGCCATTGGCAATGGTCGCACAGTTGACAATGCCACCGAACACATTCACCAGTATGCCCTTGACTTTCGGATCGGATGTGAGGATTTCAAAAGCTTTGGCCACCTGGTCCTCCTTGACTCCGCCACCGACATCCAAGAAGTTTGCCGGCTCACCGCCATTCAACTTAATAATGTCCATGGTGGCCATGGCGAGGCCGGCGCCATTAACTAAACAGCCAATGTTTCCGTCCATGGCCACATAATTGAGATTATATTTAGATGCCTCTACCTCACGCGGATCAGTGTCCTCTTCGCGGGTGTCCAAGGCAAAAATGTCCTTCTGACGAAACTGTGCATTGTCATCAAAATTCAATTTGGCATCCACAGAAATAACTTCGCCATTGTCGGTTTCAGCCAAGGGATTAATTTCAATTTGCACAGCATCCACGGCCTTGAAAAGTGTGTAAAGCTTTTGAATCTCATCGGCACAGCGTTGAACGGCATCGCCTTTAAATTCCAGAAACTTGGCGACCTCGAGCAGCACGGCCTCTGGTATTGGCTTGTTAATGCTCAAGGGCACAGTCTTAATCTTCTCGGGGGTTTCCGCAGCCACGGCTTCAATGTCCATGCCGCCAGCAGGCGAAGCGATCAGCACGGGTCCATTGTGTTCGCGATCAAGCAAAATGCAGAGATAGGTCTCGCGTGTAATATTTACACTGCGCGCCACCATCACCTTGTTGACCAGAATACCCGATTTGGGCGTCTGTTTGGTAATCAGACGATTGCCTATCATCTGTTTGCTCAGCGAAAGCACATCGCTCTTGCTGCAAAGCAAAAGTACTAGGCAATTATTAATGTTTCTTATTTGGCAGCCACTCTCTTATCGCGACCGCGTTATCAATGCAGAGACGGCAGCAAATGATGGCCACTTACTTTGAGGTTATGTGCACGCCTCCCTTGAAGCCATTATCAAAGATACCCTTGCCGCGCCCGCCGGCTAATATCTGCGCCTTCACCACATACTCGTCACAATCTGCGTGGTAATTAGCAACAATTAATGAAACGATTATATAAATTTTGGTCGATTTGTCTTCGCTTGATTACCAAATGATTGGACAACTTGCGTATCATCTTTGGAGTTATCCAAGACCTTGAATTGTTGTATGGCAACTCCATATTTTTGTAGTAAATCCTTGGACTGGAACTCCAACAGATTCAGATACCGCAACTGCTGCTGCAGCACAGGTGCCTTAAGATAAACAAAGAAATGGAGTTTGAGGCAAAGGTCAACGCGGGTTAACATATGCTAAAGAAACCTTATGAATGAGCTGACGTGTAGTGGTAGCGGCTTTTATTAGAAGCGACATGTTGCACTTTAAAATTACACTGGACTTTGTATACAAATTAAATTATGATACGGCGTAGCAATTTTTATTAACAGCAATTAATCCAGCTTGTTTAAATAACAACAAAACGCTGCCGCCGCCGCCGTCGTTTAACAGAACAGCGCTCAAGCTAACAGAGACGTAAACGCAAAGAAGAGTACCGTAACGCAAAATAGAGCAATGTAAAAACACTTATGATTTTAAGAATAAATAATTGCAAAACAACGGGTTAAAAATAAATAGGAACGGGGTGAAATCATTGTGTGATCATTTGCGGGCGTTAAACAGAAGTTTATACAATAACATGAAATGATCTGCTATCAAAACTGTAGGTGTCATCTTAGCCTTTTACTTAACAGTGCCCTGTTAAAGCAAAATATGATATGATAAATCATTAGTGTTAGGCTCTGCTAGAAGTTTACCAACAGCTGTTTTGGGAATATCTATTTATGACTGGAATAATAAATTAAAATTAATGAATAATATCAATAAAATAAATAAATTGACAATATAAGTGAAATGGCTGATGAAAGTATAATACTGCCGCCACTGGCATCACTGCCACAAATTCCGACCGTCATATCAGTCAGTTGTAGCTTTACCTTAGCCGTCATCTATGTGGGAAGTCTATATGTGTGGAGCACCAAACATAATCGTGATCATCCGACGACAATAAAGCGACGCTTCGCCAGCGTCTCCTGTGTCATGGCAATGGCGCCGCTTTTTGTTTATTTCTTCTCATCACCAGAATTGCTGCAGCGAGAGCCATTTCCCAGCCTGCTCGGCTTCCGCTGGCAAGGACTGTGGCAGGCGATTGTGATACCTTATCTGCTCACCGCTCTGTTGTTCTTGGGACCCATCTTTGTGAACATGCAGAACGAATCATTCCGTTCATACTTCGGTATGCCGTCTATAATGGGACAATCAATAAATTATTAACGTTGTTTTCCGTCAACTTGTAGACCTGGAAGCCTGGCGTGGCTCTTGTACCAGCATTATATGGATACGTAACCTTGTGATGGCACCGTTAAGCGAGGAATTTGTTTTTCGTGCCTGCATGATGCCACTAATACTGCAAAGCTTCACACCCATGACTGCCGTATTTATAACGCCACTCTTCTTTGGTGTTGCCCACCTGCATCACATAGCCGAACGTCTGAGTCTGGGCATGGAGCTCAGTACCGCATTGTTCATCGGGTTGTTCCAATTCACCTATACGACGCTGTTTGGATTCTATTCGGCATTCTTATTTGCCCGCACAGGCCATTTTGTAGCTCCGCTGCTGGCTCATGCCTTGTGTAACCATATGGGACTGCCCGATATACAAGATCTTTGGCAGCAGGATCTGTGGCGGCGCGTTCTTGCAATTGGTTTGTATCTTGTAGGGCTTGCTGGTTGGATTTACCTGCTGCCCATTGCAACTGAGCCGTCGCTCTACAGCAATAAGCTTTATTGGAATGTTTAGAAGCCAAAAAAGGAGGAGTAGTAATCATTGTATTGTAGTAATCATTGTATTGTTGCCATAATCGAGATTTCGGTATCTCACAACCTACATACATATGTATTTATGTATATAGTTAGTCATATCATAGAAAACCGACTGTACAATGTTTAGATAAGTCTTCCGTTAAATAAACAGTGCAACTATTTTTAGAACACACGAATATCGCTTAAATTTGGCGCTAATCTTGTGGAGCAACTCTGCTTATCACGACTATCGATATTACTATAAAATCTCACGATAGCTCCGCAGCTGTGACAGCGATAACGATAACATCGTCATATGTGTAAAATGTTTTAAGAAATTAAGAAGCATGAGAAATGTGTGATAAAAAAAATAAGCACAAAAAATTGACGCTGAAACTAGCAACGAGCACTCCAGACAGCCGGACTTGTGGCAGGTAAGTGTCATACGTGTATATAAGTGTTTTTTTGGGTAGCGCCAGACACAGCAACAACTACGCCCACGCCACAACACAATACTGCTGACGTCTCGCTCGTCCCAGGACAAACGATAATTACAATTATAGCCCTAGTTCTTAATGTTTGCAGCAACAACAAAAACAAATAAACGACACGTCAACGTTGCGGCCCGAAAATGTATTGCCTGCAATGTTTACTCCCCGTATTGCTCATACCAAAACCCACAAACCCAGCGCTTATGGAAACACATGTCATGTTCATAGTGCTATATTTAATAGGCTTCTTTCTGGAACGGAAGCCATGTACGATCTGTAGCCTGGTATTTATTACCGCCGTTTCGCTGTTCTGCTACAGCGGCGTGGGCAACTGCATCTTCTGGGGCAACTGCGAGGGTCATCATTGCGAAAACGGTTAGACGCCGCCAACCCAATTCAACAGCAGAATACAGGAGTGCTAAATAATAATTACGTTCGCGTTGCTACAGCTTTACAATACATACAATTTGCATACACAAACAAACCAACAAACAATCAGTGATAAAAGTGAGTGAGTCAACAAGAGAGGAGGAGAGCCGAAGCGTGTGGTGTGTACGTAACTTGTACGTGAAAGTTTGTAAACAGAAGAGGAAACTATATATCTGCCCACTCAGAAAGCCAAAAGAAAATATAAACAAGTCCATCCCAACGCGTTCGATAGCCTGTTTCTATTGCTGGTATTTTTTCTTCATGTATTTTAATTTAGCTAAATTTTCTGCCCCTCGCCCCAAATCCAATTCGTATTCAACTGTTTTATTTAGAATTAGAGGCGAGTTTCGTTTAACAAGCGCTACAAAATGTATTGTAAATTTTCTGATTACGAGGAGAGGTACCCCGTCAATGCAACTTGAGATTAGTCATATGTTATTTAAATAAACTAACTGTAAAAAAATTAAAGGAATTATAATATTGCTGTGCGTCCTTGCTGCGCCAATGGACGTTGATATCGGTTGTTCCCTGTCCTGTGCACATGCAAATTGTATATATATATACACACACGACATGCATACATATATACATTACATTTGATTGATATATAAATGTATAAAATAATCAAAAAAGAAAAATGTTGGATTTTTTTTTTACGAATTGCACTTCGTAAACTTAATTTAAGCAACGACAAATTATCCAATTTGTTTGGACACGAGTTTAAATCGATTAAAAACAAATCACAAAATTAACGTAACACAAACGAAGAATATCTATTAAAAAAAAAACATTTAAGAAAAATAAAACGATTTATTGACGCTGTAGCTAACGAGATGTTTTCATTTGAACTGCAAGCTGCAGCTGGAGATCGTAAGCATTGGAATAGCTACGTGACATCTAACTTTGGACAGCTCAAATTGTTAAGTGTTGTGCTTATCTGTGTGCATTATTGAATAACTTTTCTGAATATAAATTAATTAAATTCTATTCTGGGTTTCTCCTATATGCCCTCAATTTTGTTATTCTTGAGCACATGCACTAAAGTATCCAGAGAATAGTACTAACAAAAACCTGCATTATAATACACACAGTATCTTCTGATTTTGATTTCCAATTATCCACAATTTTATTCGCTTCAAAATGTATGTATATAAAAAATGTACAATTTGTTGTTGTTGTTTTTTTATGTTTTCTTTGTTTACTTACTAAAAACTACAGAAAAGTATTAAAAATAAAATACTAGAATTTATATACAAATTTCATCGGATTTATTGTGAAAACAAGGACGAAAAGAAAAATACTTTAAAACTGTAGACATATATTCAAAACAAATACGATTTATCGATTTACGAGGCTCACAAAACTTGAGAGGACCGATTGGAATGTTATACATACAATATCTTTTTTACGAAAATATACAAATACATACATATATAGAGATAGTGGGGGGAGGGGAGGAGATATAGGTGGAAACATATATAAAGAGATTTCTTTTTGGGGCCAAAACTCAAAATTTCTATCGATTGACGTTTTCATTTTTGGCGTTTTGGGGGCTGCTACAAATGCAAACGCATTAGTTTTGAGATGTTTTCGGAATCGAGCAACGGATGACGACACAGTTACAATTTGATATGGAAACAATAACGACGACGACGACGACAACCAGATACGATTCGCAGAGCAGCAATCACAGGCGTGTTGTTGTTGTTACTTAAACGGAACGAGGCTGGACGACTGAAAAAGAGAGAGAGAGAGAGGGAGTGGAAGAGGATCATTGGTTGAGTGCCAAGTGGGTTAAATGCCGAATGCTTAGGTGCTTACAGTGTGGTCGCTGCGACTCTTCGGAGGCGGGACCGCCTTCGGCTGACTGCATCATGGGCACGGGAATGCGCACAGGCTGGGCCAGGCTACGTCCAAAGATCATGCGGCCGAATGGCACCTGTGGTGGCTGATCGGGCATGGGTGGTGTCATGGTGTCGCGTGGCTGCTCCGGCAGCGGCTGCAGAATCAATCGTTGTATCTGCATGGGAGGCACTTGCTCCTCCTGCTGTTCGTTGGACTCCTGGTCACGCTGCTGTTGCTGCTGTTGTTGCTGTTCTGGCTGCTGCTCGCGCTGCGGGCTTGGGGACTGGGCTGCAGTGGTGCTGGACTGCTCACCGGATACCACAGGCGTCTCAGAGTGCTCTTCCTCCTCGCTAGAGTTGGCGCTATTGTTCTCATTGGAGTCGGCAGCATCCTCAGCGGTCAGGCGACGCAGCTCGTCGGTAAAGCGATCCTCGGCCATGCGCTGAATGTTGCGCAGATCGTCAGCGGTGATGCCTACGCGCTGCAGTGCCATGCCCAGTGGCATGTGCTGGATCTGGATCTGTGGCATCTCACGCTGTGGCATCTCACGCTGGGGCATCTCACGTTGGAGCAGCTCACGCTGCAGCAACTCGCGCTGTGGCATCTCACGCTGTGGCATCTCGCGCTGTGGCATCTCACGCTGCTCCTGCTGATTCTGGGCGGGCATGGGCATATCGTTGGTCATGTCAAACTGACGGAAAGGCAACTGATGCATGTGAATGCGCACGGTCTGGATTTGGGGCTGCTGCGGCTGCTCCTCCATGCGTGGCGCCTGCATCACCTGTGGGGGCATTGGAGGACGCATGGGCAGATGTTGGAACGGAGGCGGCAACTGGCGAATGATGATGGAACCCTGTTGGGGCAGCTGCTGTTGCATCGCTGGTGGCATCATGCGCTGTGGCATGTGGGTCAACGGCATCTGGTCGGGTATGCGGCCAAATGGAATGGGCACACGCTGGAATGGTATGAACATGGGACGCATTGGCTCAACGTCTTCATCGGAATCTTCCTCCTCCTCGCGCTGGCGCTTGGACTCCTTCTCGTCCTTGTCGTCACCACCATCGCAGAAAATGGAAATACGTTCGCCTGTGATGCGTGCCTTCTTCGGATCGGTGGTCAGATTAACGCCGAAAGGCAGCGACACGGTCTTTGAGGGTGAGTCGACAAACTCCTCGGCATGCTTGCGCTCCACCACGCAGTTCATGCGGGATCTATACAGAATGGATTAATGTAGACACACGTCTAAATTAAAAGCGTGCTAATTACTTCTTGTTGTTGCGCAGAATGGCGGCGGCCAGATCGCTCAAGTCCAGCTCGAGCGGCATCTTGCCTGGGAACTTTTGCATCTCCTCGGTCTCATCGCTATCTGAATAGGAATTGTCGTGATCGTTGACATTGCGTTCAATGGCATCGTTCTTTGATTCCGTCTTCTTGTCAACAACGGTCTCATCGTGGTCGAGATTTTGCAAATCCTCACCGGCATCGGATTTGCCCAGCAAAGCTTCAGCTCTTGGTAGCTCCTATAAAATAGAAAAGATAACTATGTGTTAGAATGCATTCTATTATTTTATATTTCTATACCAGATTCAAACTATTTGGTGCTGATCTGAACGATAGGGACTAATATACCGCACAAATATATATATATCTATCTAAATATATATATATCTGTATGTATATAATATTTGGCAATTCTTTATTATTTTCTGGAATTTAGACCATTTCAAGGCTTCAGTGGTTTTGACTAGGAAATGTATTTGACGTATTTTGTTGCTTATTTTGTTTTATTTTCCTGTATTTTTTTGTTTTGTTTTGTTTTTTTTTTTTGTTAGAGACCACTTAAAATGGTATTGGCCAGCAAGCACGTACTGGCAATATACGACTACAGTGGCTGCAATTGTTATGTGCCTCTAACAATGAGACGTTGTCGTCAGAAGAAGTGACCCCAACCTACATACAAAAACGACGCGACGTCAGACGCAACTGCGACTGAAACCAAAAGTAAAATGCCATAAAAATTAAAAAAAAAACCAAACACATATTACATAAGCACATACACACACTGGCTGAGCATACTTCACGACACAGCAAAAAAAAAACTCACACACAAAAGCAAATTTAAATAATTTGTTGAACAAAACAACAAAAACCTCATTAATTCAATGCGATGGCTGCGGCTGCGGCTGTGGCTGTGGTTGCTGCTGATGATGATTGATAGTGGGACACAAGTGGGCAGCGGGGCAGGGTGTGGGTGGCTGGTTTGAGTGTACCTGCCCAGGGGCAGAACGCCTAAGCCCGCAAGCAGCCGGTGCTTTGGTTTGAAAAATAATGTTATATACATCGTCATCGTCGTCGTATATATCCGGTAGCTAATGGGTTCTGTGGCTCATTATCTGTGACTTGACATTGGACCATAACTTAAGGGAAGAGTTTCTCACTAATTGGACAGCTGCAATTGCAATTTCAATTTATTTGACGGCTGGTCAAGTCAAGCAGCCACATTTCCTATTAAAAAACCAAAAACTAAACCCAATTAGCTGGCTCAAGACTGTTTGGGTATTTTCCTCTCGGATTATCTGGGCAAGCCAAAGGTTGCAGCTGTGCTCTAATGAAATTCATTAGTGCCTAATGAAGCGCAGTAGATTTCTTGTGTGGCGGCAACAGATGCTGCTGCGAGCAAAAGCTAAGACCACGTCTGAGTCATGGCGCGTATGTGACACATAATTGCTTTTCGCCTGAAATCAAGCCACAAAATTTCACTCAAAAATATAAATAAAAGCAGAAAAAATGAGTAACTGAAACTAAAACTGAGCCAACCAGTTTGACAACACCAGAAACCAAGTCAGCAAGTCTCTGTTCCAGTTCCAGTTGCAGTGCCGCCTTCCCGCCTTGCCCGGCCAACCACTTAGTCAATTGCTAAGCTTCAACTCCGGTTTACAGCTCAATTTTTGTTTTTTTCTTATTGTGTTCGCTTTTATTTTTCTGTTGAATTTCAAGGCCAGGCAAGCGCCGAGAGATAACATCAATTACACAGCACAGAACATTTGCGGGCACATTAAAAACTAGACACGTAGGCCCCATTTGGATTCGCACCGCGGCGCGCATACATTTAGATGACAATTAAATGATTACAAATTGAAAGCTGTGTGCAATTACTTTTTTGCCTGACTGTCTGTCTGTCCGACAGTCTGACAGTCTGTCTGGCTGTCTATAAACCTATTTTTAGCATTGACGCAGGTGCCATTTTCGAATTGAAATTCTAGGCGCGCAGAATTTCCTTTTGAAAATCCAAGCATTATTAAAATGTTCAGCCACGCAATGTCTTGGCATCTGGCAAAGTGTTTGCAAATTTGCACAACAGCCACATAAATTATAAATCATCTATTGCGATGTGCGAGTGTGTGTGTGTGTGTGTGTGTGTGTGCGAGCGTATATTGCCATTACATAATCGTCCATTGGGGCCCATAAGTTTTGGCTTTGTTTGCGTGCCCAAAACGAAAGACTTAAGCGCGCAACTTGCCTTAAATGGCAAACAGTCAACGCGTCTTCGACTGCGTCTTTTGTCTATATGTGTGTCGGCGCCTTCTGTGTGTATGTGCGTGTGTGTGTGTGTGTTGACGACTTACAAGCTGTCTGTCTGTCTGTCGGTCTGCCTGTCTGTTTGTGTGACGGTGCCAAGCGGCGCCAGCCGGCAAAAAGTGACAGCAAATGCATTATGGCTGCTGCGGCTGCCCCTCCCCCTGTACCAGACGCTGCCCCTCTACTTGTGGCTGCTGCTGCTGCTGCTGCCTCAGCTGATGATCTCTGGCATTTGCCGCGCCCACGCCCGCTGCGCCGCGCTTGAGCGGATTACTATGTGGCATATGTGTGTGTAAAAGCG